TGTGTGTGTGTGTGTGTGTGTGTGTGTGTGTGTGTGTATGTGTATGAGTATGTGTGTGTGTGTGTGTGTGTGTGTGTGTGTGAGTGTGTGTATGAGTGTTCATGTACATCCATGTGTGTGAGGGTATTCGTACACATGGTTGTGCACATGTGTGTTTGGCGTGGGGATGAAGAGCCCCTTTACAGCCAAAGAAGCAACTGGCATTGGTCTGCACAACACCTTGATCTCACTTTGACAGATGACTGTACCCTAGCTGAACCCTGGAGGAACTGCCACCTCCTGGGCCTGTGGATGCAGTTTCTGTGCCCAATACCACTTCTGATGGCAGTGAGTTGCGGGGGGGGGGGGTCTGGAGCACCTGACTTCCCACTATGACAGTTGGAGAGGTCCTCACTGCTGGAACCTTGCTGTGACTGCCCAGCATCCAGTTCCCAAGCTCCAGTCCCCATCCCTTAGGCAGGCAAGAATGAGCAGCTGCCTTCAGATGCTTCAGCCCCACCCTACCCCCAAGGACCACTGCCGGAATCTACCCACTGACCACGGGTGGACACTGCCTGGCCTGAGAGTGTGCCTGTTTAGAGTGATTCATCTGGTGCCAGGCACCCAATTCCTGAGCCATCCTCAGTGTGGCTACAAGCAGGCCCTGGTCTCCAGAAGAGTTGCAGAGAGCTGTCAAGTCTATAGGGCAAAGATTTCAGGCTGCAAGCTGAGTGCTGCAATGCTGGCCGCTGCCAAGAGCCAATGGTGCAGATATTCTATGCATACATGGTCACTGTGGCATCTGAAATGCTAAGGGTCACCATGCCTAAGGCGCTATGGAGAGTGTCACTTGCTCATCCTGCCTACCACAACCACCTTCTGCTTGTCTGGGGTTTGAATAAACCAAGGGCTGGTTCTTTAGTTGCCTGCTAAATCCAGGAATTCTGGGATAGATGTCTTAAGGGATCATGTACTAGGACCTTTTGATTTCTGGTCTCCAGTCCCCCCCTACTCCAGAGAGCCCACCAGCACCTGAATTCTTCAGAGCAAACCTTCTCCTGCCTGTAAACCTGTCAGAATTTCCTGAGGATTGATGGAGGGTTGATCTTTGTAGCTTTTGTCCTTCGGCATTGTTTCCTTGGAGATCTTTTCCTCAGCCTTGCTGGATGACTCTTTTGGTGTCTGCCCCTTCTCTTAGCTTATCTGGTAAGATGTCTGGCAAGATCTGGTGAAGTTGCTTCATGAAAACACTTTGAACTCTCATTGCTGATAGGCACAGGGTGCTTGATATTACTAGGTTTTGGCTCTTTGTTTCTTTCTTTCTTTCTTTGGTTTTTTGAGACAGGGTTTCTCTGTGTAGTTTTGGCTGTCCTGGCTCTTGCCCTGCAGACCAGGCTGGCCTTGAACTCTTAGAGATCCACCTGCCTTTGCTATGGCTCTTTCTGCATTGCTCAGACCCAGATTGCTGTATAGATTCTAGATCCAACTGGAGGGAAGACAAATTGAGACTTGAAGGCTTTTTAGGCCATGCCTCAAGACACAGTGTTGATAAATAACATGCACTCATGTGCTCTGCAATCACTGAACCAATGATGGTTTTCTGGATTTGACTCCAAAAGCACAGGAAGCAACAGTAAAAATTGACGAACTAAAATCTGTACCACAGAGGAAACTGAGTTAAGAGAAAGGCTACAGAATAGAGAAAATGTTTGACAGCTATTCATGTGTGTTATGTCAACTTGACACAGGCTGGAGTCATCTGAGAGAAGGGAACCTCAGTTGAAAAAATGCCTGGGGAGCCTTTAGGATATCTTTGAGTTCAAGGCCAGTCCAGTCTGTATAGAACGTTCTAAGAGGGACTACATAAGGGACCCTGTCTCAACAAAACAAGACAAAAGTCTATTCATGGAAATCCTTGAAAATCTAAATAAACCCCCTAGCTCAGTTGGGAATATTGCAGCAATGTGCATTTCTTTATTCCTCTTACTATACCACTGGTTTATGTGGTTTCAGCACTAAGGGAAATTGAATGAAAGCTATTTGAAATTGTGTGTCACCATTCCTCTGGGTTTACCATTTCAAAATATAGAAAAAGTATTCTAAAAAACAAACATAATTATGTATATTTTATATGCCTAGGAAAACAGTATGAAAAGAAATTCATGCAATTATTAACATAATCACCTGTGGTTAGCTGAAGTAGAAATGGGGTAGGTTTCATATTTCCCCTATATAATTCTATATATTTGATTTGTTTATGATCATAACAATGTATCATTGTACTGTGTGCCGGGCATCTCCTGTGGACCCTGCTTGTGAATCTATAAGGACTGTCATCTCCATTTCATACCCAAGGAAACAGAAATATAGAGTGGGCAAGCATCTGGCCAGAGTAACAAGTGACAGTGTTGGCCCCAGCAAATGCTCAAAGCCACTCTGGCATGTCGTGTTGGTTAATTGATAGACGGGACAAATAAATGGGCATGTGTGCTAAAGGGGAAAGACAGAGTTTTCTGACTCGGGCTCTAAAAAGTCGGAGAATCTATGGATCAGTGAAACTCCTCCCAGAGCATTGTTTAATCAGGGTTTTACAAGTTATCTTTCATTGCAAGGTAATGGGCTGTTTACATGCAGTGCCTTCCAAATGCTGAAGAGACACTGATTTTAACAGCTGTTGATGAGTGACTTGGAAGAGCTGAACATTTTTATTTAAAGCTAGTGAAAGAATTAATTGCCAGCAAATTAAAAAGAGTCACCTGCTCTTTCTCTGCCTCCTCCCTTGACTGCCTTCTGGAACAGTAACAAGGGTGTGGCGAGCTCAGCCACCACCATCCACTTGTGCCTTTCCAAGCTACCTGGGTTGGCAGCTTGTGAAATGATATGGATTGGAGATATGGGAAAGATGTCTCAGGTCACAGCTAGCTCTGCCCCAAGGACTGAAGGACCTTCTTCTTGGAGCAGAGTCCTGAGATGGAAGAACTAGATGCCATTCTGTACCCTTGGCACAGGGTAGAGTGTTTGTCACATAGTAGGAGCTTTACATGAAACAGATCCTTTTTTGTCATCTCCTCCTCCCACCCTCCCCATTTCCCTTCTTTTCTTTTTTGTACTGGAAATTGAGCTCAGGGTGAGCACACCTCTACCTGCTGAATCACACCCCCTAGACGGTCTAGAGTGAGTTCCTATAAAACATAATACTCTTTGATGATTAAAACAAGACAGAGTCTGAGAACTAAACACACCTATGTCAGCACCATGACTTTAGAATAAGGAGGATTTTGTAAACCTGAAGTGAAGGGAACATAGCAGCTCTGTTTTCTCTCATTCACTAATCTTAAAGTACAACTCAGGATTAGTTTTATGGGCATGTGAAATTTGTACATGTGCTTAAATCACATTTTTGTGGTTCATGGGGAAATGAATAGAATCGCTGCTGTAGTGTAAACTGAATGTGGCTTCCTGGCAGTTGGGGCTGGTTTCTCCATGCACAGTTGAGTTCAGAGCATATCCACAAGTAAACATCTCTCCATGGAAGATAAGAAGAAAATCCCTGCAGGAAAAAGACACAGCAGCCTGTTTGATGGAACAGACAACACACTCGGGGGCCCGGGAAAAGAGAAGAGTGTTTAATGACAGTGCTGGCTGCCTGGTCCTTGATGGTGTTAACAGAGAAAGCATAGACCACCAAGCAACTGAGACACATCACTGTGGTGGAATAAGAAACGTAACTCAGTAAATTCTGGAATGGATCTACACCAGCACTAAAGTTCTCTAACCTCTCACACAATGGAGACATCACCATTCTCAGTTTGTATCTAGGCATAAGTATTAATGCACCTTTAAATATTTTTCACGAGTCTTTGAAACTTTGGAAAAACAGCAATTAACAGTTTGAATCTGAAATGTCTCCTCAGGCTAATGTTTTGAATACTTGTTGCCCAATTGGCAGTGCTCTCCTGGGAGATGGTGAAGCCTGTAGGAAGTGGGAGAAGTGGGCCAAGCACCCAACTCCTGGTATCAAGTCTCTGCATTATGCTTTACAACTGTTGTAACTACAGTGCCTGACAGAAACAACTTAAAGGAGGAAAGACTTCTTTTGCCTGATGATTTCAACCAGACAGGTGAGTAGTGGTGGGGGAAAAGGGGCTGTGGAACAAGTTGTTTTATGGTGGTGGGAAGGTGTCCTTGAACCTGCTCCCATCATGGCAGACCAGGAAGCAAAGAATAAGAGGCGGGAATCAGAGGCTGTGTATCACCTTCACAGACCCATTTCTAATGACATGCTTTCTACTAAGTAGGCTCCTAAGGTTCCCTCCTCTCCCCAGATATGATCACAAGGAACAAATGTGCAAATGTGAGCCTATGGGAGCCATTTAGGCTCAGACCATAAAATCAGCATGTAATGTAGTCATACATAGGACAGGTTTTGGTGTTACCCTGGAAAAGAAAATATTCTGTCAACAGTAATATATTCAGTTAATTAAGGCTAAATAAGATTATGTGTGTATATGTGTATATATATATACATATATATATATATAATGTGTATATATGCACTTTGTAACATAGCATAAGTGTTATTAACTTCTAGCTTTTAGCAGCAATAGCTATAAAAAGTAAATAATATGTGTAGGACATAGAGATAACTGGATAGGAGAGAGAAAATGAGGCTAAGTGCATAGTGGCTGGAAGCTAATACAACCCTCACAGCTGTATTTAAACAGGACATCTTGTGACTACTCAAACACTAGAGACACAGGCTACCCAAAATAGTCTGGCACCAAGATGACTGACTAAGATGACTACTAGGTATACTTTATTTCATTAAAATGACATTGTCATCCTGCATCTGACATATGAAATATTTGGCAAACCCAATATAAGGATAGAAAGGAGAATAAATCATGTTCTAGGAAAATCCTGACCCATTTCTGGAATCCCCCCTCCCTTAACTCAGAAATATCGCCCCCCATTGAAGTTTCCCATGGGAGGAGCCTGCACTCCCTTTCGTTCTCTTAAGCCTCCCATCCCCCTCTCTCTAACACACATGCACACTTAACTATTAGTATGTATTCACTTAATAAACATTAGTTTTGCTTCATGCTGACTTCTATTTTCTGTAAGTCAAGATGCTGGCTTGAACAGAGGGCAGTGCAAAGAACTCGAGCTGAAGACATGACAGTATAAGTGGAGGCCCCCTGCTCCTGCTGCTGGTGACATTAACACAAAGTCTTTTCATATGTGTGTTTGGGGGAGTACTGCGCTCAAGACTGCTGGACTCAAACTGGGCTGACTTGAGATTCTGGCTCCTTCTTACCGGGCTTGTGACATGGGCTGATCAACTCTCAGGTCCCATTTCTTCATCTGCAAAATGAGGTCACAGTCATAAGTTGCCCAAGGAAATGATGAAGGTCAAATTAAATAATAAAAAAGCTACTTAAAATATGCTGTGGAGCTAAAAAATGTAGTAACTGTTTATCCTCCCATGTGCCACCTATGCTCTTCAGAGTTCTGTTCTGAGGAAACGGAGGCTCTGAAAGCATTCGGGAGCAGGACAGAGGTCAAACAAAGTCTGGTGCCTGAGGAGCACTTGGGGGAGGACATTTTCCAGTCATGACATAAGGCAGGTAAGGACCTTAATATTTAAGGTAACTAATGTATTTTATGATGCAAAATTAATTTAATATTTATGCACTTTACATATTTTATGTTTTCTCCTTTGTTGACCTCGTATTTAGTCTCAAGCCAGTAACTGTGAAGCATTTCTCATACATTTAAACTACAAAAGTGTTACATTTTGAAATCTTCCTTCTTACACAAAAAAAAGTACAGCACACCATAGATATTGTCCATGTCTTACTTTTTTCACTTAATTACCTATTTTGGCAATCTTTCAATATCAATCCCATAAGAAATACTCTATTCACTCTTTACAACTATATAGAATTCCATGGTATGGATGTGCCACAGCTTAACAATTCCCCACTGACTGGCGTTTACTTGATTGCCAATTTCCTGATACAGCAAAACGAGTGCAATGAGTGACCAAACTGATGGTCAAATTGCCCACCTACAGATGGCACAAAATCACACTCACCAGCATCCATTCCCCTTCCTTGCAACATGTATACATTACTCTTACATATTTGTAATCTAATAGTAAAGATGGGATCGTGTTGTAATTTGAATTTGTATTTATCTTCACTATAGTGAGACTGATTATTCCTCATCAAGAGCTGCTTAGCTTTACTTCTCCTGTGAATTCTTTAAATTCCTTACCAGTTTGCTCCTTAAAAATGGCATCTTCCTTATTGACCTGTAGAGTTTCCTAAGATGTTAAAGACATTAGCTGCGGTCTGTAAAATGAGTTACAGTCTGTACAGTTTTTACTTGCCTTTGCTGGACTTGGTTCTTCCTAGCAGGGATTGTAGGAACTTAATCTTACATGCTCTTCTTTAGTGCTTATAGATATGGTATCATTTAGAGAAGCCTTTCCTACTCTTGATTCTTGCAGTACCTATTTGATAATTGATCCGTTGGGAAAGGATCCTGTATATGTGTGAGGAATGATTCAATTTTCTTTTCTTTTATTCCCCACAGGACCACAATTGCTCCTGCACTGTTTATTGAATGCTTGGTCATTTTCCCTACTGACTTGAGAAGGCATGTCTAACCCATGCCAAGTCTAGGGCATGTCTAGCCCATGAGTCTGCTGCTACATTTTTTATTCTGTTTCATTGATCTGTCAAAAAAAAAAAAAGGGAAAGTTGAAACTGTATAAGTCACTGAGATAGAAGCCAACATAGAAAAAATAGAGAAATTTGGAAGATGAAAGTAATATTGAACCAGACATTTTCTGCAAGAATATTTTTTACCATATCAGTGTGAGCCTGAAAAGCAGGGCACGGGAAGTTAAAAGATGTTAGCTCAGATCAGAGGAGTCTGACACACCTGAGCTCTGCCTCCTTACTCATGTGGCCCTGCCTGTCCAGCCACAGACCTTGAGCACAAGAGTAGCTGATGAACATGGAGACAATTTGAACCCTTCTTATGAATGCCAGAACTTGACACAAAGAAAAAATGAGGCAGTTCTTGGTAAAGCTGACCATAAATCATGACATTCAGAACTTGCATCGGGGCAGGCTTCTTTGCCTAGCAGCCGAAGTAGAGTAAAGGGAACTCCAGAAAAAAAAAAAAAAAAACAAAAAACAAAAACAGCCCATGAAGCTCAGCAATGAAAAAATGAATTGTGAAATTGTCAATCTGAGCAAAAGATCGAAGAGTGCCATTTGGACAAAAGCCTTGAGGGTGAAGACTATGTAACAGAAATCAGATCAGTGGCTGCAGAAATAGCAGTAGCTGAGTGCTTGCTTAGTATGCTCAGGGCTCTGGGTTCCATATCTGCACCGGACAGGAGAAGAGATAGAAAGGGAGGGGAGAGGAAGAGAAGAGAAGGAAAGAAAAAAGGAGGAAGGGGCTGGAGAGATGCTTGTCTATCAAGAGCACTTGCTACTCATGTAGAGGTTCACAGAACCCACACTGGACTTCTCACAACCCCTGTAACTCCAGATCCAGGGGTCCCTCCCACCTCTCAGCTTCTGTGGACACCCATACATATCTTAAAAAGAAAGAAAGACATTTTTCATCAAGTATGATGACACATGCCTGTAAATCATGGTATTTGGGAAGCAGAAGCAAGGGGATAGTCAATTTGAAGACATGGGGTGGCACATCAAGTCTCAGGCCAACCTGGGTTGCATTGTAAAATGCTGTGTCCAAAAAATAATACATAATAAAACAAACAGTTAAATAATAATTAAAAACAAACCAGATTGTTCCTTCCAAGAAAGATCCCTTCTTTCTTACATCTTACATTCAGTTTATCATCAGTGTCAGGTCCAAAGGAAACTCCAAAAAGGCAGTCCAAATAACCAGAAATGAGTTCAAGCTGGACTATAAGATTTCTGAGGGAGTGAAGTGGTTGTCTCAGCACTTCCCCCTGTGTTGTCCCCACATGGAGAGTCATTTAAAAGTTAGGGCTTTGCTGTTTTTCCATCACCTTAGTGACTGCACATGAATCTACTTATATTTTAATTATTGTCTGTGGCCCCACGACCCGAAGTTGGCACCCTGCCAGTCACTCAGGCCATGGCCTGGCAGGGTTTTCAGTCCTGAGGCTATGCAGAGCCGGGTGGCCATGATATGTAGGTTTAAATTAAATTTATCATTCTATTTATCAATAAGACTTGTGTCTAGCCGTATATTGGAAATCTATTCCATCCCACCATGAGTTCAGAGAGCCTCAATTTTTATTGTCTTTAAGCTGTCAGCTAATGACTGCAGTGATAGCTCCTATCTAAATAACAAAAGACCTAGGCCCAGGCGAGTTAAAACCCACCCTGAAGACTAGTGACACTTGCTGGTATGGAGTGCCTGAAAGCCAAGTATAAGTATAGCTATGGAGTGTCTTTAGGATTAAGGGAAGTAATTGCTATCTGCCCTAGCTGACTTTGCTTTTTGTCCAGAGACACCTCAAGAGACACATCTCTTCCCTCATCTCAGAGTCAAAGGGAAGCACCAAACTCAAGTCCCTGCCCTTTCCTTCCTGTGCATCTTCTCTATATAAATTGCTGGCTTCTCTATGGCCAATTCTGGTCAGCTAATCACTGGCTCTGTCCCCCAATTCAAGGCTTAACTTTATTGGCAGTCTCAGGAGTCTCTGAGTGAGTTCAAAATATCCCACAACAAGGCTTGGTCTATGATTTCTAGGTCACCATGTTATAGACACTGTTTTCTTCCTCACATTGTCCAAAGAGGTTCCTATGTTAATTACTCCTACAGTTTATAAACAGTGCTGGTTCAATATGGAACTCAACAGAATGCATTTAGAACCTACCAGGAACTTTCAGGATGCCCATAGCATATAGAATGAATGACAAAGAAGAAGCTGAAACAATTTCATTCTTTGTAGGCAAAACAGGGCACTGGACCAGAAAATCTCCAAGGGCTTTTCCAACTCTGAAAGTTTATGGTTTCTGGGCAGATGAGAACAATTTCAGGTGAATTGTGGGAGAAATAAGTTGAGTTTTTTTGGGGGGGGGTTGTCCCCCCCCAAAAAAATAGAGCAACATAGTAACAAAGTTTAAATAGAAATCTCAAAGCTTTAGAACGTCCTTAGTCTCATTTTTCTTGAAAGGGCACAGCAAATGGTCTCTTCCATCCTTTCTGTACAGAGGCCACAGTACTGACAGCTGTTCTATATGGTCAGTAGGAGCAAAGGAGGTAAGAAGAAACCTTCCCCAGATGCTAAGCTTGTCCAGCATGAAAGCTGTACTGGTTAGGTTTTTGTTTGTTTTGTTTTGTTTTGTTTTGTTTTGTTTTGCCAACTTGAGACAAGCAAGAGCTATCTGGGAAGAAGAAAAGCCAACTGAGAAAAATGCCTCCATCATATTGTCTTGTAGGGCATTTTCTTGATTAATGGTCAGTGCGGGACATCCCAGACCACTGTGGGCAGGTGGTCCTGGGTTATATAGGAAAGTTGGATGAGAAACTACAGAAAGCAAGCCAGTAAGCAGTGTCCCTCAAGGCTTCTGCTTCAGTACCTGCCTTCAGGTTCCTGCCGTGATTTCTTGCCCTGACTTTCCTCAGTGATACAGTGTGTGACCTGAGAGTTTTAAGCTGAAATAAACCCTTTCCTTCACAAGTTGCTTTTGGTCACAGTGTTTATCACAACAGAAAGGAACTAGTTTCCTGGATTTAGCTCTCTATCTGTGAGCTAGAATTAAAAAATATGTTTGCTTAAACCATCAAGGGATACAAGGTTAGGTTATCAGACTAGATTCCAAGAGCCTGTTTTACCATAATTATCAAAGTATCATTCAAATTTTCAGTCTTTATACATTTAGATTAATTTACAATGTCTTGATAGAAATCTATTGCCCATTCCCTTGTGGTCTGGATCTGTCTCCTGCAGATCAGCAGTAGAGGCTGACATAATTGTGTTAAAGTTTGTGGTCAGAGAACCTATCAGATGGCTGTAACCACATGCTGTTCACCAAAGTTTGTATCTCCATAGAAAGACAAAATTTAATCAAACAGGAGAACAAGGAAGAATCTCTCTGGAAGATGGAGTTCTACGAGCCAGCTCTCCCCACCTGTTTCAAATGTGCTATAAATTGATTATCCACAAGAAGCTACTTGTCTATGCATTTATTTAGAATGTTTTGAGACCCTGATTGAGAACTCAAAGAATTTGTTTTGTCCTTTGTTGTGATTAGTAGATGGTTTTATGTTCCTTGATTATGATAAATCTGTTTTTAGAAACTCAACATAATGTCTAAATTGATCATTATCACAAATGGGTG